GTGCTAACAAGTAAGCATCACGTGCACTAGCATCCTTTGTGTCTCTTCTCTGAGTGTCCTCATGGAGTGCTAACTGAGTCAGTCCAGAACAGCAAGATAATTTCCTTGAAGCCCAGTGACATAGATTGAAAGTTCCGCATTATACTAAGATATATTTATTGCTGGTTTGATAATGTTTACCCTGTACCTTGTGTTATCTGTTCTAAACCAGGAAAAGTAAACCTCAATGAGATAGTATACTTTGAGACTTAGTGACAATTTTAGATTCATTGTTGGAGCATGTAATTTTCAGCTACATTAATAATGTGATGATGATGTATTTTGTTCCAGAACATGCATTATCATATTAAGCAATTTGGTTTGGGGGACAATGAATTTATATTTATATTTAGCTTGCTCAAATTCACTGATGCAGTTTGGGGTAAGAGAGAGAAAAAGGTATCTTTATTGTTTGCTATTCCCTACCTCACCCTCAGAATAGCCTTATTTTTCACAACCTAAGAAAAATGCCAAGAGAATTATTGGCATTTTAACCTTCAGTCGTCCATATCCATAAGGAGTTAATGCTAATATTAAGAAGTTTTTGTAAGTGGTTTTAACTACATCTGATGTTCACTTTACTCTCTGACTTTAATATCTAATGTCAAAGTAAGATTCATCTCTTAGGTTGAGGTTATGGAGGAAAAATTGAGACCTGTTAATAAAGTTTATCACTGGAGCAGTTTAATGGCTCAGGGAAGTGCTTTTTGCTCATATTCTTTGATGCAAGTTTTCCAACAGCTGCAGTTTTTAAAATGCCGGCCATGTCTGATGGTTCTGGCCACCATTAAGGAAAACTACGGTGATGCTGTCTGTTGAGATAAAAGGAAGGAGAAGCTGTAACAGGCGAGAACTCAGAACAAAGCTAGAGGGCATATTTTATTATACCATGTCTGTCAAAAATAATTAAAGTCTCCATTGGCAGAGTCCCAAGATCAGTGCTGAGTCCTGAAAATAAGACCTTCAAAGTTTACAGACATAATGAACAACCAAGGAATCCATTGAATTAAAGAAAGAACTTGCCTAGTATCAGAAAATGTTGTCTTAAATAAATTCTAGAAAAAGATGAATTTCCAGCCGGATTCAGGGGGCAGAGGTAGGCATATACTGCCTACAATATGAACTCCTTGAAATCAGAAGCTCTTCATTCCTCATCTTCATAATACCGTAAACACTTAGTCCAAGCCTATGCTTCATAAGTGATCCAAAAATATTTTTAAATGTATTTGAGTAAGTAGGAGGAGAAAGCCAGGAAAAATAGAGTATAAACTGTAAGGACTATACTATAGCTGTTGACACAACAGCAGAATGCAATCTACCTTAAGCACACAACGCTGGGAGATTTAGCCCTGGAAGTAATTGTTCATGAAGAAATAAATGTGAAACGTAAATAAACACTAACGTAGCTCTAGAACATCTTTAGCACTTGCAGCAAGTTCTATTCAAATTATCTCCTCTTTCCCCTTGTGATTTTTTTCTTGGACCTATAGGACTTAGAAGTAAGTGCATGGAACATCCAAAAATTTGGATATTTTGCCAAGATTTTTTAAATTGATTTTTAAGTGAATGGTGTTAGAGAACATACTTTGTATGATTTCAGTTACTTGAAAATTGTCAAGATTTGTTTTATGGGCCCAAATATGGTCTACATCACTGTATATTCTGTGAGCATGTTGCGTGTGAAGTTTCAACAAATGTCATTTAGGTCAATTTGATTGCTTAACAAACAAAGCAATGTCTTTGATCTAACAATGACTGATAAGAGGAATATCGAAGTCTCCATATTAACTGTGGATTTGACTGTTTCTCCTTTCACTTCTTTTAAATTATGCTTTATGTATCTTGAAGCTTTACTGTTCCAATGTCAGGTGCAAACACTTTTAGAATTGCTATGTCTTCTCGTTGAACTGATTTGTTTATTATATACAATGTCTCTCGAGTATTATACCTTGAGTTGAAGTCCATTTTCTAATGATAATGTAGCCTTTTTTTTTTTTTTTTTAAATGAGACAGAGTCTCACTTTGTCATCCTTGGTCAAGTGCTATGGTATCACAGCTCACAGCAACCTCAAACTCCTGGGCTCAAGCAATTCTCTTGCCTCAGCCTCTCTAGTAGCTGGGACTACAGGTGCCCACCACAACACCAGGCTATTTTTAGAAACAGAGTCTCGCTCTTGCTCAGGCTGGTCTCAAACCCATGAGCTCCACCAATCCACCCTTCTTGGCTTCCCAGAGTACTGGGATTACAGGTGTGAGCCACCACGCCCAGCCTAATAATGTAGCCTTTTAGTTTTTCTTTTTTTCGCAGTTTTTTTTTTTTTTTTTTTGGCTGTGCTGAGTTTGAACCCACCACCTCCGGCATATGGGGCTGGCACCCTGCTCCTCTGAGCCACAGGTGCCGCCCCCTTTTTGTTTTTCTTTTGTTAAGTGTTGGCATGGCACACTGGTTCCATTCTTTGACTTTCAGTATACTTAGATCTTTACATGTAAATGTGTTTCCTGTAGAAGCATGGAGTTGAGTTTTGCTTATTTTTTTAAACTGAAAGTCTTTACCTTTTAACTGGAGTGTTTAGACCAGCACTATCCCATAAAAATAGAATATAATATTAAGTTTGTAGTAGACACATGAAAAAACATTCTGAAAGGCTGAAATCAATTTTAACTACATGGTGTGCTTAACCCATTATGTTTAAAATATTATTTCAAGATAAGAATGTGCACATCATGTTTTTACTTTTAAACATAAACCAATTAAAATGAAGTAAAATTAAAAATTCAGTTTCTCAGCTGCACTACCTACCCTCTTTTTAAGGGCTCAATAGCCACATGTAGTCAGTGGCTCGAATTTAGACAGTGTACATTTAGACAATTTATATATAATGTAATTATTAATATTATTGAACTTGAATTTACCATATTGCTAGGCTGTTAGTTGCAGAGGATCGGGTGGAGGGAAGTGAGTCAGCCAAGACAACAGTCACATGGGATATCGTGTT